GGATATAACTTCTCAATTCATTTGTGCAAATACCAACATGTGTGTAATTGCTGAATTGTATGGTAAAAGTATGTTTAATTTTGTAAGAAACTGCTGAACTATCTTCCAGAGTGGCCTCTACTTCTCATCTCTACCAGCAGCCATATTGCTTCACATCCTATTTGCACATTGTCATTGTTTCAGATTTTGGCCATTCTAGTAGTTACACAGTTGTTTCTTATTTTAATTTGTAGTTCCTTAATGACTTAGGATGTTGAATACCTTCATGTTTATCTGCCATCTATGCTTGTTCTTCAGTAAGGAGTCTGTTTTGACCTTTTGCCTATTTTTATTTTTTATTTTTTTATCTTTTGTGCTTGAACTTAGGGCCTAGGCACTGTCCTTGAGCTTTTTGGCTCAAGGCTAGCACTCTCTACCATTTAAGCCACAATTCCCTCCACTTCTGGCTTTTTGGTGGTTAATTGGAGATAAGAGTCTCATGGACTTTACTACCTGGTTGGTGTCTAGGTAGTTCATAGCCCCCTTGAATAGCTAGTATTATAGGTGTGAGCCACTAACACCTGGCTCTTGCTTATTTTTTAATCAGATTTCCATTTTCTTATTGTTAAAACTCAAAACGTTTGCATATATTAGTTGTACCTGATGGTTCCATTGTGACATTTCTATATATACTTAGAATGTATCTTGATTAGACTCAGCCCCTCCTCACTCTCCTTTATCCCCTACCTTCTTAAAACAGTTTTAACCATTAATTGTTCTAATTCATACATGTATATGAAGTACTTTGATCCAATTACCCCTCCCTCTCCTACTGGTTCACACCTACAGATAGGACCCCTCAACACTTTTTTTTTGTTGGTCATTGGTCTTGGGCGCTGTCCCTCAGCTCTTCAGCTCAAGGTAAGCGCTCTGCTGCTTGAGCCACAGCCACTTCCAGTTTTCTAGTGGTTTATTGGAGATAAGAGTCTCACGGACTTTCCTGCCTGGGCTGGCTTTGAACTGCAATCCTCAGATCTCAGCCTCCTAAGTAGCTAGGATTATAGGCGTGAGCCACCGGCCCCTGGCCTCTCAAACACTTTTATAGATTAATTGTTCTTAGGTTAAAGTCTTAGTCCTTAAGAAATGCCAACTAGAGATCCTACTAACCTGGCTGCTTCACCTATATAGTATTACACTTTCACTGTTGCTTTTATACATTTCAATTACGTTGCTCTTTCAAGTCCTTGAATATACCCAGTTCCTTCCTCATGGCTGTACCCACTGCTTGCACCATTCATTCTGTGTGCTCCCCTTTTACATAAGTAATACTTTTATTCTTTAAAGTTTTGCAAAGACAGGAGTTCTTCTCTTAACACACTCTTGGAGCCATGCATGTGGCTTGTCCTTATCACAAACTACACATTTAGCATCAGTTTCTCACAGTAGACTAGAATCTCTTATTCTGGAGTCACATTTGTTTTCACTGTTGTCTGCACAATGGTCAATATTATGTCTGGCACATGCTAGATACTCAATAAATATTTGTTAAATAAATATCCAAGTATTTACACAGCTTTCTCCTAGAGAAAGGTAAGGAGCTGGGGCTGGGAAGGTGGCTCAGTGGTAGAGCACGTGCCTTGCATGTCTGAGGCCCTGGGTTCGATTCCTCAGCACCACATAAACAAAAAGAAAAAGCCAGAAGTGGCGCTGTGGCTCAAGTGGTGGAGCTCTAGCCTTGAGCTGAAGAGCTGAGGGACAGCGCCCAGGCCCAGAGTTCAGGCCCCACGACCGGACCTTCCCCCCCC